CTTTTTTTCTTGGTAAACTGTGGATAAATACATAGTTACCAAAAATGAGCAATAAGATATAAATCCTGCCCTCTAGTTCCTAGATAGCAAAATTCTGGAAAGATTAAATTGTACATATGAAAATCAACGTGAATACGACAGCAGGGAGTATTATGTAAGATGATTTTACTCATTAATTAGCAAGAAGAATTTAGGCACTATTCACTAAAGTATGTCCCTTAGGAATGGATTATTTTATTGGAAATAAGTCTGGACGAATTATAAGGGAACACTGTGCATAACATATTTGTTTTTCTTGAACCCTTCTGAAGGATTTTTGATGTTTGTTGGTCTTGTGGGAAAAATTTGGAAGTCTTTGCCTGCATGATCAAAGATACTAAGCTTCCACTGTGATTGAAATTTCTTTGATGTTGCTATAGACTGTCATTTTCAGTGAAAATGCAAAATAAACATATATGTGCATATATATACACACACAGAGAATTACACACAATCATATAGAAGACAAAAATATTAGCCTGAAGTCATAACTAAAAGTTATAATTTTGTATTTCATATGATAATTTCAAAATCTAGTAATGTTGCTTCTCTCAAACCAACTAATTTAAATATATAAAGGCTCACAGACATAGCATATGGACAGTGCAACCCAGAGACTGATACCTTGTCAACACAATGCCTGTTGCATATTAAGATAATTTGTACAGAGACAGATAGTAGTTCAGTGGTGTCTGAACTTGCCAGGGCTGGGGTGGAAATGGAAGGGTGACTGTCATCGGTTAGAATATCTATTTGCAGGGTGATGCAGTGAGCTGAAGAAAGCCACTGACTCTAAAATATACCTACTTCTAAATCCCCAGAGCTGTGAATTTCATCTTACATGGCAATAGACATGATTAAATTAAGGACCTTGAAATGGGGAGACTATCCTGGGTTATTCTGATGGGCTGTGGCTGCAGTTACACATATTCCTCTAAGAGGTGGACTGAGAGAGGTTTCACATATGCACACACACAGAGAAGGTGATGGGGACATGGAGCAGAAAGAGAGTTCTAGATTCCTGCCTTGAATACGGGAGTGATGCCACCATAAACCAAGGGATGCCTGCAGCCACCAAACCCAGATGAGGCAGGAGACAGAGGATCCCCAAGAAAGTCCCAGAGACTGTGCCTGCCAACACCTTGATGTGGGCCCAGGGAAACCGATGTGATCTTTGGCCTCCAGAACTGTGAGGAAACAAATTTCTGTTGTTTTAAGATACCACGTTTATGATAATTTGTCAGAGAAACTCCAAGAAACTACAATTAATGAAATGTCCTAAACTTGGATTATGAGTGAATTTCATGCACTATAAATTATTTTTTAACCCAATTTTTTTAACATCTTAATAGACACATCGAAAGATTCAAAATCAAGGACATTTGCACCCAAATGTTTATAGCAGCTCAATTCACAATCACAAAGATGTGAAGATAACCCACGTGCCCACCAACAGATTCATAAACTCGGTATGTGTATACCGTGGAACACTATTCAGCCATAAAAAGATGGAGACTTTATATCTTTTGTATTTACCTCTATGGATTTGAAGAGCATTCTCTTTATTAAAGTATCTCAAGAATGGAAAAGCAAGTATCCATGTACTCAATACTAATTTGAAACTTGTAGATGAACAACTAAAAGCCCCTCAAAGAGAAAAACACAATTAAATTCAAGAAGGGGAGAGGGAAAGGGCCAGTAAGTTCCCACCTAATGGGCACAATGTAAGGGTATGTGGCACCTCCCTGGTGAAGGACTCAACTACAACTCAAACTTTACCTAACAAATGCAAAGAATGTAACCTAACCTTAGATACCATTATATTAATTCCCCCAAATGATATGCAAATGTCTTAGCTATGTGGTGTTTAAAACTAAAATACAGCTGCAGTATTTTTCTTATGATGTGCTTTTATTGCCATTTCAGTTATGTTTGTCAGAACATTTTTTCCCCAGAATTAAGTCTAATGGAAGACTACTTACACTCTGTATAGGAAAGCCACATTGAACACTTTTAACACGTTTAGCTTAGAAGCTTAACAAAAAATGGTTTCCCTCTCTTCTTTTCTGCCTCTTTGAATGATTGGAAGAGTTCAAAAGTCTTGCCTTTGGTTTCTGAGTTTCTGAGAAAATGGAAGAATCACATTAAATTAGAAGATACCTATGTCTAGGTATCTAGGTATCTAATTTTTGAGAAACTCTTAAACATTAATATTAAGAAAAAAAATCATGAAATGGATGAAATACTTGAATAGACACTTTACGACAAAACACATTTGGGTGGTAATTAAGCACAAAAGGACGCTCGACACTGTTATGTGGATAGAAATGTTGTGTTTCTACGGTGCTGGTGTTTCCATGACAACGTGTTTGACAGAACTCATAAACCTGAACCCCTAAAAAGCACGACGTTTACTGTTTGTAAGTCATGCCTCCAAAAACCTGACTCTAAGGAAAAACTGTCAATACAAAGCAAAAATAATCTTAGAAGGATGGCATAAATCAATACATTATGTTAAATACTGAATAAGATAAAGAATAATAAGCATTCATCTCGCTTCTCTTATATGAATGGCACCACCGAACAACTAAATCAGAGATCAGAACTATTTCAACACCATTCTAGTAAATGAAAAACAAATGATAGAATCAGACTGTTAACACTTCACAAGCCCAGTGGCTTAATAGACACAGGCATTAAGCAGGAATAGTGAGGGCATCCTAGGAACAGAGGCAGAGGGAAGCTTCCTCCTGCTGAAGGAGCTTCGCCGGCCGGCCATGCCGCCAAAGGAATGGAACCAGAGATGCTCGGTCTCTGCGTCCAGCTGCCACTGTGAGAGGAAGGAGGAAGGCAGAGGAGCACGTGGCCTGCAGGAAGAGTGCAGCAGCAACCCTGAGAAAAAGGCTGGAGCAATTCTCAGGTTTTGCAATAAATAACTGGAAACTGAATGCAATGTTCCAACTTAATAGAAAGGAATGTTATTCTCATTTTACTGGTTAGCTCTCTGTAACACGCACATGTGATAAAGGAAAGTCTGCAATAGGCCTATCTTCCCTTTCAACGGCCCCTGCCCATTTCAGAGCCCCTCCGCTTTCCCTTTGACCTGGCCGTATCCTCCAAAATTGCTGGTTTATCCAAACGCTTCCCTGTGTGAGACGTTTTCAAAATACTTGAAACTATTTAAGGTTTCCAAATAAATAATTTTTTTAAGTTTTTTCTTTTTTTATTAAATCATAACTGTGTACATTAATGCATTTATGGGATACAATGTGCTGATTTTATATACAATTTGGATATTATGCAGCCATAAAAAAAAGATGGAGACTTGAGCTCTTTTATGTTTATGTGGATAGAGCTGGAACATATTCTTATTAGAGTATCTCAAGAATGGAATTCTTCTTATTAAAGTATCTCAGGAATGGGATACTTTAATAAGAAGAATATGTTCCGGCTCCATCCACGTAAACATAAAAGAGGTAAAGTCTCCATTTTTTCTTTATGGCTGCCTAATATCCAAATTTGTATATAAAATCAGTACCTTGTACCCCATAAAAATATTCTTCTTAGTAAAGTGTTACCGGAATGGAAAAAAAATATCCAATGTACTCAGTACTACTATAAAACCAATTTATAATCACTCACACTTTCATATGAGAAATGAATCACAACTATAGCCCAGGATGAAGGAGGGAAGGGGAGGGGGATGGGAAGAGAGGAGGGGTGGTTAGATAGATAGAGGGTTAACGGTGGGACTGCACCTATGGAGCATAGTGCAAGGGTGCAAGTCAAATCTCTCAAGTATTGAACACAAATGTCTTAACACTGTGATTAAGTAAATGAGGTGAAAGCTATGTTAATTTAAATTTTAAAATAATGGAAGAAAAAGTATCCAATGTACTCAGTACTATTATGAAAGCAATATATCATCACCCACACTTTCTTACGAATGATAAAAGTTTTTTTAAGGAAATATCAGTCAAATACCTACTAGAGCAGCGATTTTCAATCATTGTGCCCTAAGAGGATCTTAGGTGTGCCTTGAAAATTTTTAAAGATCATTTAATTGTTTTCAAAAGAAGTTTAAAGCACAGTAAGTATATTCATTGTTTTATTCTTTCTTTGATTGACATAATTCAAGTGTGCCGTGGAAGTTTAACTATAGGTTCAGGTACGCTACGAGATTAAACAGGTTGAAGAACACTGGACTAGAGGCTGAGCATCTGATGTCCTCTTTGACATTTGTCATAAATTTGTGAGCATTCAACAGGCTGACGTGGCAGCTATGGAATTTTAGATTTCATGTAAGGAAAAGAATAGGAATCATTTTTGTTGATAACTACACCAGAAAAGACACCGTTTAGAGAAAATATAGCTTAGTTGGAGGATATTTAGAAAAGAGGCATCATCCACTGCAGCACCACTCACAACGGCCAACAATATAGGAGCAGCCTAGGGGTCCATCAGTGGGTGAAAGGACAAAGCAGAACGTTATTCAGCTGCACAGAAGAATGAAACCCTGGCATTTGCAGCCACAGGGATGAACCTGGAGGATATTATGCTTAATGAAATAAACTAGCTACAGAAACATTCAGCATGATTGCACTAATTTGTGGAGTCTAAAGAATTGATCTCATAGAAAGCTGGTTACCAGAGCCCAGGGAGGGTAGAGGGGAGGGCAGATAGGAAGAGACAGGTCAGTTGGGTATAAAGGGTCAGGTGGATGGGAAGGTAAGTTCTGGGGGTTTACCACATAGAGGAGTGACTGAGTTTAACACTATTGAACTGCACGTTCCCAAATGGCTAGAAGAGGGGATTTTAAATGTCCTTACCACAAAGAAATGATAAATGTATGAGGTGATGGGGTGCGCAAAACCCTGATTTGATTACTACACCGTGTATGCATCTGTTGTAACATCACACTCTGCCCATGAATATGTGGGATTATTACATGTCTGTTAAAATATCATCATTTCACATGGACTCTCCAGCGGCCTGCAGGAGCACCTTGGAGAGGCTGGTGGGCCAGGTCGGCACTGTACCTGCAGCTGCCACCCACCTTTCCTACAATGTTTCATTAAAAAAGGAAAAAAAAGTTTGAGAAACCAAAGTTATTCAATGAAAAGGAGTCTCAGTTTGTTCTGAAATTTGCCCCAGTGAAATGCCACCACTGAAACACCTGAGACTGTCCTCAGTCTCCCTCTGTCTCCCCCCACCCCACCTTTGTCACTGTCCTGTGACACCATAGCTTTTATATAACTGAGTTCATTAACCACATTGTCCCTCCTTCCTGAGTTTATTCCCCATGTCTACATATGACAAGTTGTCCACAGTAGCCGAAAGAACTTAGCTCTAAAATTTCCTCCAATCTTAAATTTTTGTATTTAAAGGAAAATTCTTACACCCTGTGAATTATCTTCAACTTCTCTAAGGAGGAGAACTGTGGGGAGGGTAGATCCTACAGCAGGGTCTAAAACCCCTGGGTCTGCGTCATATTTATCTGGGCAGAAAACAGTGTCAAATTCCCCTTAACCAGAGTCTGGCTATTGACAAAATGGGAGTCCTTGCTGTAGTTAAAATATTTTACCTGATACTGATCCCAGGGAGTTTATAGAAATGTGACAGTGTTTAATTTTATAATAATGCCTGCTATTGTCCTTTTCTCCCAAAATTGCTATTATGAACTCTTCAGACTGTATAATTCATAGCACTTATGAGCTGAGTATTTGCCAGGCTTTGCATGAAAGGTTTTATATGAATTATCATATTTAATTCTCAGACAACCATGAATTTCCATATATTTCATTTTTTGACAGAGAAATAAACTGTGGTAATCCATGCAAGGTCATTTAAATAGCTCAGAAGCAGGACTGGGTTTAGGGCCAGGTCGGGGCTTCTCCAGAGCCCACCTACTTAACAATACACAGTTCACCTCCCAACTCTCAGGCAGCTGAAGCTCTGTTTAAATCAGTTCGGAAGCTGCCTGTGTTGGATAACCCTCAGACCTTCATGAAAGCCAAGTAAAGCTCACCATACTGAGGCGTACTGCACTACTGATGAAGAGTGGAAAGGCCACTCTCTCTGATTTGAATTTTCAGTTGCAGCTGTTCACTTGGAGTGGAGAAAGCAGAGCCCCACCTGTGACTGGATGTCCCTACCCAACGGGTCTGCCGCGTGAGGTCGAGCTCTCCCATTAGCCCGGGGCTGAGAGTCAGGAGAGTTGAGGAGGAGGAAGGCAATGGAAAGTTTGCATTCTTTCTTTTTCTAAAATTAATTGTTCTTAAGTTTTAGGTTAATATGGAAGAAGTACCTGCAATTAGGTTACACAGTTTTCTTTTGTAAGGTAAGCGCCTGGGTTGTAGTTGTGCCCTTCACCCAGGAAGTGTGCCACATACCCATGGGTGAACGCATTGGTGGAACCCACCCTCCCTCTTATTTGAATTTAATTGAGATTGTCTCTTACGTGAGCATGTAGTTGTTAATCTACTGGTTCTAATTAAGTACA